TTCTAGTGCGTGACTTAAAATGAATTGGTTGCTAATGGTAAGGATTTTTATACTTTTTGTGTATCCTAGCTACAAGAAATGCATAGAAATGAGATAGAGACCAAGGTAGAGACTCCATGTTAAATTTAGCCATGTGCTTGTTTTGAAAGAGGCGTGTTTTGGGCGTGTTTTTACTTTTTACACACATGGAGCGCAAGTGGAGAAGATATCGCTGCTTGTTTTTATGAGAAGAGTCTGAAGACAGTGAAGAGAAGAGTCCCTTTGCTCTTATAAACCATTGCTAGTGAAGGAAAGTGTCTTTAGCCATAGATAATAGCATGGTAGAAGTCTGTTATACACCTCGGTCTCGGTTGCTATGGGTTTATTTTACCTCGGGACTGCGTCCCTCGGTAAAATAAATACCATAGCATAGATTGTATTACAGTGCTTTGCAGGTTGCTTGACCCAGTTTCTGCTCACGTGACATGTATTACTAGTATGGTGAGAGTCACGTGATTAACGAGTTTGCAGGGTCAAGCAACCTGCAAAGCACTGTACTAAGTAACAGGGATAGGAAACTGATGACGTCACACGGACAGACTCTGCAATGGTGGAAAAGCAATGGAAGGACTACACAAGCTCTTCTCCAAGTCTCCAACTGTATTAATTTGAATTTTATTTACTATCGATGATGAACAGATAGGTCTTAGGAGTTCATGACTGTTCTTTGTGACGATTAAACATAGTTTTGTTGACAGAATCTTCGCCACCTCTCGCGGCCCATGTTATCATTGAAATTGCCTTTGTGATGGCACAAATTATGATACAGCTATTATTTTTCCAAAGTGCCGTCTATGGCTTATATAATAGGCTAAAGGCATGTGAAAAATCCTGATCTTTGTTACAGTTTTTGTCCTTTATCCTAATTTTACCTACTTTTTGTGATATAGGTTGAACAGATACGCCTCTAAAAACAGACATTTTGGGATCTTATGATCTGTATGAAGCACTAGTGATAATAAAAGTGTCTTAGTGGCACGTAGCTTTACTTGATGCATGTTTTTTATATTGACACTCTCAGTTTTAGTTACCCTTAGCAAGTTATAGGTTGAATAGATTTCACACCTATTACGCAAGGTAAAAAAGCATGCTTTTTCTCATTTTTCTTCAAAATAAAGTGCTGTATTACAGCTTTAACAGTTTCTGATAAGTAAGTAAACCTTCAGCAACAATATAAGCTACATAACTGCCCTGGATCTGGCTTCAAGCTACACTTAATCCAGCAGTCCCCTCAGTCATATTGCTCTAGTCTCAACGAGCCGGGGAAGGGGCAGAGTCCATGCAGAGTCTTACAAGGTTCGTCCGCACCTGCTTTCATTAATTTGAATGAGATCACGTGATCTGTTTCCTATCCCTGTTACTTAGTAATACAATCTATGAGCAATACAATCTAGAGCAATAGTTTCCAATCCCGGTCTGTGTAGTATATCTATGTTTCAACTGGACATTTAGTTTATAAATAGAATAGTTGCGGTAGGTACTGTCACAGAAAAATCTGTCCCACCCAAATTTTGTCCCATGAGACAAAATATTTTATCCTAGGACAAAATCTTTCAGAAATATTTTGTCCTAGGACAAAATTTTTCAGAAATATGTTGTCCTAGGCAAGCTTTTATTGTCCTACCATAGGACTAATTTTTTTGTCCTAGGACAAAATAATATCTGAAATATTTTATCCTAGGATCATAATATTATGCATATATAGACTATTTTGATAAGGAAAATTTATTTAGCACTCAGTATTAATAATAATAATAATAATACATTTCATTATCGCATAATAATTGTCTTCATGCAACTTTTACAACAATTACATGACCAAACGTAGTCCTTGTCAGTCCAAACATCTTCTGGTATTTGTTCACACTCTACGTGATACCACTCCTTACATTAAGAACATTTTACCATTCTTCCTTCATTACTATAAGTTGTCTGCACAGGCAGTATATAGGTAACCTGTATTCTTTAGATAGTCCAGGGCATCTAGCTCTTAAACAAGTAGAAAACAAAGACATCACATTCTTTTCTAAGCATTATAAAAGATGGAAACGAAGCTTATGTGAAATATAGCTGCAAGAAGTTGGGTCTTAACCAGCACAAATTGACATTGCTAAAGCAAGGGCACATAAACCACAATCTTATTGTCTATTTTGCCTTAATTTGCATACTAGGAACAGTCACTTTAATTCCCTGTACTCAGTGCATTTCAGTATTGCTGCTATCTGCTCCCTGGTACGTTTATCAATACCATTGCTGGGCAAGCTATCATATATCAGTTTGTTGCTTTGATTTAATTATTCAAATCATGAATACAGATGCATATACATACTGAGTTTGTCTACAAAAGCACAGATATCATACTACGTACATACATATATACACATAACTAACTAAACTATTTAAATACACAAAACACCTACACTATCACGATATAGTTGACCATTCATCTTGGTTTGGTAATACGGCGGTTCCCCATTTTGCACTGAAAACAAACTTTTCAGCTCTTTTCCTTATCTGCCTCTTTCTGTTAGCTCTACAACCTTCTGGACACTTTCTATCAGCTAAATATACAGCTGCCTTCTCCACAAGATCATCCTCTTCTTTCCTGGGTTCTTTACTCGGTTCTTGACACAGTCTGTCATCCTTCTTCGATCTGAAATCTTCTTCTATGTACTTTGAACATATAATAAAGGGTCCCACATGCTTTGTACTTGTATTCCATAGATAAATAATTAAGGAACAAAGTCGAATACAAAGATTTACAGTTCCTTTACACTTTTCTTTTGGTAGGACAAAAACTGCTGACGCGGACATAAAATATCACGTGATATTTCTATCCTAGGATAAATTTTCACGGGGGACAATTTTTTTTCGTGACATCACAACATTGGTCAGTGAGGTGTGACCATTAATCATCACAAAAGAGAAGAGTATTGCTAAGGACATTACTCCAAAGTACTCAGTAGCTGCTATGACAGTACTACATTCCATAGACCTAGATAAGGTCTCCTAGGACACCACTAGTTCATGTGCGCATACATACATGTAATATGTACTGTGAATAACTGCGCATTGAGCTAAAGCAGCTGCCTAAAATAAACTTATTTCAGCTGATGGCTTTGAGTAGACTTCCTGGCTTTAGGAAAGTTTTTTCAATTGTAACTATTATCCAAAACTAAAGATCAAAGGTAGTACATTGTAACAAAATATAATTTAGCATGCCACTTTTTTGCTAACAAAATATATGTATATAGCACTCAAAATGACACATGAATGATTGTCGGAGAAGCTCTGTCGCCTTTGTGGTAGAAATAATAGGCCAGTACAGAGTGTCCTGCTGTTTCATAAAGTTCAAAGAACCATTGCAAGAAGAATTTGCAATAGGTATCTAGTAGAATAGTGACGAAGACTCGAAGTCCATCCCAAGTGTTTTTGTGATCGATGCTATGCTATTTTGTAGAGAAAGATAAAAGAGCCAAGGACAGAAGAGTAATGCTTACTTCTATTAATCTAGTAGAGTGGAGGGAGCATACAAATGAGAGCTGTGAGACATCAGACATGCCAAAAGTACTAGAACGTATAAAGGGTGGGAGGAATATAGGGAGGAGAGTGGGACGAATAGAGGAAAGAAGAGAGGAAAACCTTGAATAAAATAGTTTCCATGGCATAATTGAACACATAAAGGAAATAGAGTCACCTTTGTAATATAACAGCCCAGATTTCTTTACTTTCAAATAAGTAAACCTCACTGAAGAATTATATATACATGTAATATAGCTGTCAAATCTATTAAACTATCCCATTTACCCATTTAACCTCTTAATGTCACTCTTGAACTCTGAATTAAAGAAAAGAAAGGCAAAAGCCCCTCTCTTAAGTACATGTCCATAAAATACCTTTAGCTCCAGGTGGCCACATACCACTATACCGCTGTTTGCTCTGGTATGGTAACAGACAAAAACGTGACAGTACAGCAACAGTCTACTTGAATAGGGGTTACATAAGGCTACCTTATGAGTAGTAAGTAGTTCCTGTTCCTTGCTTCAGAGAAAACCTTCAGTTAGCTAAAAGACTCATGTGATGGTAAGTTCCACCCTTTATGATCCATAACTTTTGACCAGAAAGTCGTAGTAACATGGAAC